AGGTGAAAGAGAAGAAGGAAGGCAGCCTGCAGATGAAGCAGCTTGAGGGGCGAAGCCTGAAGTGGGATGGTCCAATGGGGAAGCAGGAGGGGCCGGCTCTAGGTCAGCTTTGACACTGCCCAGAATTCCTGAGAGCTGGTCAACAGTCACGTACTGAACAGAGAGAAGCAGCAGAGTGAAAAGCAGTAACAGGACTGGAAAGGTGAAAGAGAAGAAGGAAGGCAGCCTGCAGATGAAGCAGCTTGAGGGGCGAAGCCTGAAGTGGGATGGTCCAATGGGGAAGCAGGAGGGGCCGGCTCTAGGTCAGCTTTGACACTGCCCAGAATTCCTGAGAGCTGGTCAACAGTCACGTACTGAACAGAGAGAAGCAGCAGAGTGAAAAGCAGTAACAGGACTGGAACAATGACAACCAGAGGCGAGCAGGCAAGGACCTCAGCAGTCCCAAAGCCCATCCCAGGGGAGGTTATCACAATAGGAGAGTTCAACTTCCTGGCGATCAGAACAGCATCAGAAACAGCTGCTGTTTGTTCTGAGCCCAGCCAAAGGTCTCACAGCACATCAGAAGAGTCGTCTGCACAAGCTCTTCTGGGGGATTCACTTTACTTTTTAATTTTTGGCAAACTACTATTGCTCCTGGGACTGATGAGCATCCACCTGAGCCAGAGAGAGGCCCGACTGGCAGCTCCCCATACTGCTCTGCCAAGTCAGCCCCATCCTTAGTTACCTCAGTGTTGGGCTCCCCCCATAGCTATGCTGATGCCCTTCAGTCCTGATCCAAACCTACTCCAGCCATTCAGCTGAGACTGCTTATGCCAAGCTTAATGGCAGTTTTGTAACAAATATCTACTTCAACCTAAAACTGGTCCCACACAGTCACTTGCAGACCCAGCAGCCAAAATTTCCCTAGAGGAATTCCACTGAGAAGGGCCTGACCCCAGGTAGCCAACATCAAAGGACTAAAAATTCACTCAGTCACCCCATTCCCCAGTGCTATCTTATCTAGGGGTATGTCTAGACTACATGGCTCCATCGACGGAGCCATGTAAACTAGTTTACCCGGCACAGGCAAAGAAGCAGCTTTTCCTTCCACCTAACGACAGAAGGAGCATCTTCGCGGGCAGGCTTGCAAACCTAATGAGGAGGGCTTTAAACTAGGTTCGTCGGGGGACGGTGACGAAAACCCTGAGGGGAGTGGGGAAGTCGGATACTGGGAAGAAATGCAGAGAGGAACGAGCAAGAAAGGAGGACCCCTGATTCGAATGGAGAAGATAGGGCGATCAACTGGTTACCTGAGGTGTTTGTACACTAATGCGAGAAGCCTGGGCAACAAACAGGAAGAACTGGAGGCCTGGCCCAGTCCAAGAAATATGATTGAATTGGGATAACAGAGACTTGGTGGGATGGCTCGCATGACTAGAGCGCTGCCATGGAAGGGTATAGACTGTTCAGGAAGAACAGGCAGGGGAGAAAAGGAGAAGGAGTTGCACTATATGTAAGAGAACACTATGATTGCTCTGAACTCCAGTATAAAGAGGGAGAAAAACCTGTTGAGAGTCTATGGGTTAAGTTTAAAGGAGCAAACAACAGCAGTGATGTTGTGGTTGGTGCCTGCTACAGGCCACCGAATCAGGTGGATGAGGTAGATGAGGCTTTCTTCGGACAACTGAGAGAAGCTTCCAGATCGCAGGCCCTGGTTCTTGTGGGGAACTTTAATCACCCTGACATCTGTTGGGAGACCAATACGGCAGTACACAGGCAATCCAGGAAGTTTTTGGAGATAACTTTGGAGAAGTTGGGGATAACTTCTTAGCATAAATGCTGAAGGATCCGACATGGGGCCGTGCGCAGCTTGACCTTCTGCTCACAAACAGGGACGAACTAATAGGGGAAGTAGAAGTGGGTGACAACCTGGGAAGCAGTGATCATGAGATGGTAGATTTCAGGATCCTGACCAAAGGAAGAAAAGAGAGTAGTAAAATACACACCTTGGACTTCAAAAAAGCAGATTTTGACTCCCTCAGAGATCTGATGGGCAGAATCCCCTGGGATGCTAACATGAAGGGAAAGGAGTCCAGGACAGCTGGCAGTATTTTAAAGAAGCCTTATTGAAGGCACAGAAAGAAACCATCCCAA